AAGCAAGGAAGCAAGGAAGCAAGGAAGCAAGGAAGCAAGGAAGCAAGCAAGCAAGCAAGCAAGCAAGCAAGCAAGGAAGCAAGGAAGCAAGGAAACTAGAAAGTGAGGAATGAGGGCGGGAATGTCCACACTCCAACACAGCTGGATCAGCACAGCTAGTAGATGGCACGTCAATTTTGACTGCACCCCTGTTTTTTACATTTTGTGGTGCGCACACCTACCTTTCGCGCCATCTACTGTTACCCCGTGTATTTTATGTACAGGGGTCCCGGGAGCCATCCATTATATTGAAAGTTGAGAGCCTGGTACTCCCCAGATAGTGTACATGTCTTGGATGTTTGATCTCGGGATGGCTGTTGTCATCGTTCGAATTGCAAGGTGTTTGCTTGGAAGTCCAAGTTTCAACTGCTTGATTTCCAAACTTCAGAATTGGGATCATCGATCCTCGCTTCATTATCGTTGCCTGCACATTATGTTGAATACGGTGCATGAATGCTGGGGTATGGTAGGCCCTTTCCGCACCGTGTGCTTCATGCCTTTGTGCAATGCCCCGGTGTTGCAATGGCTACAATGCCCAACTCATGCCACATTGTTTGTCAGTGTGTTGCTCACACCCATAAGTTGCACAGACAAAAAGCTTGGTGAGGGCTAAAAAGGAATCCTGTTGCTCATCAAACGCACCGTTTTGATCTATGCTTGGCGAGTGTTGACCAGTTAGTTACAACCCCCATATGAGGTTAAGGATGGTTAACGGGATTGATTGACCCGAAACTATTTGTCCATACCTTACCAGTTTTCTTGGGATATGTTGAGCTCCGTTTAAGTAGCTAAATCAGCAGGTGCGCGTGGCCACCCTCTACAAACTGGAGAGCCATCTCTCACATTCTATGCGATAAGTGCCTCGTTCAAATTCGATTTCTGCAGAATGCAAAGATTGGAGCTACACTGGTAGAGCAAACTTGAACAGAAGTGTTCTTTCTATTAGAGCATGTTCATGCCTGGCCTGCTGAAATCCCAACTGTTGCAAGCCCTATAGCGGCCCCAGACAATGTAAGCTCCAGCCGCTGTGTAGCTATTTCTGCTGATAACAGTCCATGAGTTGTCTTGCAGCAGCTTTGATTAACTGTATCAGTCAATTAGTCATTAGATAAACTTCATTGCACATTTTGGCAAGCTGTTCATTTCAGCTGGCCCCATTTTAACCAACTGTCTAAGCCAGGCTGGTTTGTGACAACAATTTACCCGTTCCTTGACTCCCTCAAGAGGGAGGAAGGATATCATAAGTCTCGTTTAATGTCTTTTGCAAACTTTAAGGCGATGTGCACGTGGAGCTGAAGGAGAGGGGATAGTGGGATCAAACAAAACTTCAAGTTGGCAGACCTCCGCGTCGATAGACATTATGTAATACGTCACTTGTACATACTCGTACCATTTGTCAAGGACCAATCAAGAAATTGATGTTCCATAAGAGGCAGTTGAATGACTTTGCGTCATTGCCTTGGCCCTGGGGGATGTGGATCTACTCTTGGGCTCTTGAGTCCATGCTTTCGCAACCGTCTCTAGTCTCAGGAGAACATGGAGTGGTTGCGACATTTGCCTCGCAGCGCGGCCAATTTTAGAAGTGCATACCAATAGATGTTTGAATCATCCTGAATCGCTTTCATTTGGTGAAGTGAACGGCCATAGCAAAGGTCATACAGTAAGGTCGTCCAGAAGCGGACGGATTCCGACCCAAGAACCCGATGGAAGGAATCGCCTGAGGATT